ATTTACTCTCTATTCTTTGATATTTTATATACATGTAATAAAGTCTATCACAATATCTTTATTGTAATTTATTGTTCTTGTAGGTGAGTACTGTGAGATAGACACTCAGAGATCGGCTTAATTTAAGTATAAAGAAAGGTTAAATGTAAAACGATGAATTACACACACTACAATTTGGCAACACACTATCTCCACAGTTAAGAGATTGTAACATTCTGCTATTAGGGCTTCCCACTACCTTTGAATCGCATGCACATGTTATAAAATTCCAAGGTAGAGAATTGAAAAGGATTGTTTTAGCTTTTTGGCCGAAGAAGATCAAAACTAACACAACAAAATTTTCTATGTTAACAGTAAAAAAATTATATTAAAATTAATAATAAATAATAATTTTACAGTTTGTACTCTGTTATCGTAAAAGTGTAAATTTCTTCTTAAAATATACAATGAGCAATAATTTTTGAATTATTGACAATTTTGTTGCCAATAAATGTAAAACTCTTTCCAAAACATTAAATATGTAATAACTTTTAAATCAGGAAAATTTTTGTTGTCAACAGTTGTAAAACCATTTTTAAAAACGTAAACTAAGCAACATTATTATTTTTTTAAACTATGGACAATTCCATTATCAACACTTGTAAAATTGTTTCTAAATCATAGAGCTGGCAATAATCTATTTAATTGTTGACAATTTTTTTTTATCAAGTGGTGTAAAATTATTCTAAAATTCTAATATTTTCCCCCTTTTTTTTAATTTGTTTTAATCTTTTGTGTTTTTTAGATTTTTATGCTTCAAAATTTTGTAACTAAAACTAAGTATCTTTATCTGATTTTTTATGTATTTTGTTGCATAATAGTAGGATATTTTAATTGATCACTTTATATTAATTAAGATTTAATTAGTGTATTTTTTTATTATTAAAATTTAACTCATTAAAAAACTATAAATTTTACATTAGGTCAAAATAATTTTTACATTAGTTATTTTAGTAATTGATCTTAATTATTATTATTTTTTTTAAAAGATTACAGCTTTTTTTTTAATTAAATCTATTAATTATTAACCAATGTAAAAAACAATTGTATAATAATATTTTGCACTAGTATAAAATGTTATAATGTAATAGGTATACTAATACAAGAATTTAAACTAAAATGTAAGTATAGTTTAATGGATGATAACGAATAAATTATATATTCATCATAACATTGGTTTGATCCTCACCTTCAATAAAATTTAGAATATTTTAAAAATTAAGTAATACTTATATTAATTATAATATCTTTATAATAAAATAGATATCTTTAGTTAATTTAGAATTTTTTTTCTTTTTTTAATATTTAATTCCATTGTAATTATTAAGAGTTAAACTTAAAATCATTAATTAAGTTTGTCGCAACTGGAGCCATGACAGGACAACGATTACGTAAGAAAAAAAAGAAGAATTGCTGAAAAAGGTTAGAATTTAGGTTTTTTCTTTAAAAAAAAAAAAACTGATGACAGGAAGTCACCACCAGAGTTTATTAAAAAAAATATTGAAAAAACTTTTAAAAAAATTTTTGAAACTAAATTTGGGTTCAGAGTCGTTTACGTGTAAGAAAGGTATTAGCACCCTATAACATTCTTTGATTGAAACAGTTACTTTCTAATTAATTGGACAATAATTATTTTAACTTTAAAAGTATTTATTTTATTCTAAAAGAAAATAATTAATATTTTTTACTATTTTCAAATTTGTTTTGATCATTACTTTTTGGATTTATTTCAAATTTTTACAATTTTTTAGAGATTTTAATTTTATTTTTAAAATAAGAAAACATAATAAAAAAATCATTTGAATTAGAGGAATAAATTATTTATAAAAATATTATTCTTTTTTTTCATTTTTGTACTAAAGAAATATATTTTAAAAAAGAGAACTTATCTTGTCACTTTATTTTTTATTTTTTATGAAATAAAATAAAATTTTCGTTTTTTATTTTTATAAAGAAAATATGCTTGAATTACTTCTTAGTTTAAAACAATTTTAAAAATATTTTGAACATGAAAAAAATTTAAAAAATTTTGAACTTGATGGGTCAGGTTCCCACTCTTACTTATCATCTGTGTGGAACGGAAGAATCAAAGCTGCCACGTAATTCTTTTTTGAGAATTGAATTTTAGATAAGTTTCAAAAAAATTCTTCTATTTTTCTTTTGTTTTTTTTTTGAAAACTTGATTTTTCTTTATTATTATTTTTAAGTAAATCTACTCTTGCACAGGATTCAAGTTAGCACACGGCTACTCAATAAATTCTTATGATCCAAGCTACATTGAAAGTGGATCTACCACTCTATCAAAATTATTTGGCCGTTGCATGGATTCAAAATATTTTTAATATTAATTTTTCTTATTATAGAAAACCCACTCTTTCTGTTTAGTGAACAAAAACAAGTATATGTCTTGATGAAGATGGACACAAAGAAATAATTTTAGGGTTAGAAAATGATTTGATCTTTTAGATCTAAAAAGGTTTAATTTTTAGGTTCCAAAAAAGTTCAATGTTTAGAATTAAAAGGTTAGATTTATAGAGAAAAAAAAAGGACTTCCATGGTAAAAAAAAAATTTGGATTTTTAGGTTTTTAAAAAGAAAGATTTTTAGGACTTTTATAAAGGAGTGATTTTTCGGTTTAGAAAAAAGATAAGGATTTTTGGAATTTAAAAAAAAAAGGAAAGATTTTTAATGGATTAGAGTTAAAAAATGATAACTTTTTTAGGATTGAAATTTTTTTTTAATGGATTAATGTTTTAAAAATCAAGGATTAAAATGTTTGACAATGATACTCTCAAAGACTAAAATATCGAATGAATTACAATCTCAATAATTAAGATAAAATTAAAACATATATTATACAACATATAACATTATTTTTGTCACTTTAAAAATTATACATGTTACTTAATATAATATGTTAGTATTCAAACTAACGTTACATTTTTTAAATTTTAAGGACTAAAATATTTGATATTTACCATTTCAGAAATCAAAATAAAAATTAAATCTAAAAAATATATATAAACATAAATATATGAAGATTTACAAAAAAAAAAATATAAAAATGTATATAAAAAATTAAATAACAACCTGTATCTCAAAACTATAAAACAAAATTAATAAACAGAAAACTTATTACAACAACGTAATGTATGATTCACATATATTTTTAGGTAATGTCAATCTTAAAAAATACACGTGATAAGCTGTAAAAAGGAATAGTTTTATTAAATGTTTCACTTTTTAGATAGAATATTTTTACTTATAATAAAAAGATTAATAAATAATTTTATTACAATAAAAAAGAGTAATATTTAGATATATAATTTTACAAAAAAAAATATGAAGAGGAAGGGGTTAATCAAGGCCCTGCTTATTCTTTTATCCTTTCCTATAATCTGTCATCTTAAGTATTACATATCATAGGTGCTTATGTACAACGATATGTCATTTGAAGTTGAATATAATTTTAATTTTTAAAATAATATTACCCTAACTACTCTTTTCAAAATTGAGAATAAACATATTTAAGCATTTTATAAGGAATTACATAAATTTATTACTCTAAAGAGCGTTGAGGCTGTGTTTTTATTTTGTCAAGTTAAAATTAATTTTATAATATTTTTTTTATTTTATTAGTTTAAATCAAACAATTAAGTTTAGAAGTCTTTTATTTAATTTTAATATAAAAATAAATATTTTAAAATTATTAAATTTTCATAATTAAATAATTTAATGTGATTATTTGATTGAATATTTTAAAGGTGACATGCGTATTAATTTTTCACTCCTTTTATGCTCAAATTGACCATGAAGCATAATTCATTAAAATGTTTTTTGCATATTATTTTTTTAATAAAATTAATTTTGTATTATTTTGCTAATTTGAATAAAATGTTGGTGGTGGCCTTATTTGTTTTTACCTTTTAAATATTTGTTACCATTACATCCCAACTTCGGCCGTGACAATTAGAAATGCGGTGAATGATTTTACTATTCTGACATACCATATAAATTTATATATAAAATAATATAAGAGGAAATTTGATAGTAATATTCTTCTAAGTTTTTAACAATTTTAAAAATATATTTTTAATTAATCTTCTATTGGAAGGAAGAGTAAGAGAATGTTTGTTTCCCATTTTTAAAAAGTTTTTAATTTTTTTCTAAATATAGTATTAATTTATACTATATTTAGAAAAAAAATTGAAAACTCTTTTTAAAAGTAAGAATCTAAAATTTTCATAAAAATAAATTATTTTTATAATATAAAAATATTTTTTTAATATTTTTAAATCTAAACATACATTATGTTATCTATGTATTTTATTATTATTTATTCAAAATCTCTATTGTCAACTTACTATTATAATTGAATATATATTTTGATAAAGTCCGTTTGTCTATATTGTTTTATCATTTTAAAATTTTTTAATGAACATAAATTTCGTTAATAGTATAAATAAAATTTATCAATTAGATTAGCAAAAAAAATTATCAATTATCATAAAAATAAAGAAATATTTTTAGAAAAATATTAATATTTATAAGAAATTAGATTTAACTCAAAAAAATATCAAAATATTCATGACAAATTTGTATATCGTTCTCAAAAGTATTAAAAACATAAAAATAATATATTTTTAACGTTCTTAAAAATAAAATTTTTAACAATAATAATTTCCATAAAGTATAAAAGATTATATACACCATCCTCTACAAAAGTCAAATATGTCAGAACGGTATTTATATCTTCAAAATGCTGAAGTTGACTGAAATTTTGAATTGGTTTTGTTAATTAAAGAAAATAATCTCAAGTTTAAATTCAATCTTACAAAGTTTTATTGACTTGGTAGAAGGAGATTTAACAACTGAAGGGTATTTTATTACACCAAAAGAACCAACAAAAGAAGAAAAAAAACAAATTAAGGATATTTATTCATTGAAGTAAATTAAGTGAAATTATAAGATCCTTGGTGGGAGTCTTTGGACAAGAATATGCAATTCTCTGTGGGAACATATCCTTTTAAATTGTTTCGATATCAGGGCTTGTTTTCAGGTTGGTGATGATGCTCATGATGATGTTCATCATGTTCAGGAGAAGTGGTTGCCACCTCAACAAGGCTGCTAGAAGTGCCTTGATCTGGTTCAGCTGATGATGGTTTCTCATGCACACCATGATGATGATCAACATTCTCATTCTTCCTAATCTCTTCATCGATGTGCACATCATCTTCAACAGTTACCACTACTGTTTTCTGTCCAAAAGGACCAGGCACAATGGTTTCCTTTACCGTTTTGTGCTCATCGAAGTGAATCACCTCGGTTTCTTGTGTCTTCTTCTTCCTCTTCTGAATGCAACAGAATAGAGCAAAGGCGAGCATTGAAAGCAACAAGAGGCCACCCATTGAGACAACCACAACTATTATGATTGTAGGGTTTGGAGAGGGTGGAGGAGGAAGAGGGGCAGGGGGTGGACGCACGTGTGGGGGTGGAGGGGGACGAATGGGGCGGGGTGGAGGTGGTGGGCGCACGTGTGGAGGCGGAGGAGAAAATGGACGAGGTGGAGGTAGTGGTGGTGGTGGTGGTACATTTGGCGTTGGAGGAGGAGGAGTAAATGGATGAGGGGGTGGTGGAGGGTTGAAGGGGTGTGAAGGTGGTGGTGGAGGGTTAGAAGGGTGGGAAGGTGGTGGGGGTGTGAAGGGAGGAAAGTAAAAATTATTGGGTTGAGTTGAGGCCATTTTGGGTCCTTTTTGTATGTTATGAAAAGGTTGATCTTTTAATTTTGAGTTGGCTATGTTGTGGTGTGGGTGTTGTGTTGTAATGTCGATTTATAAGAAATATTTTGGCTATGGAATTGAGCGATTGTTTCAGTAACTTGACTCTCATGCAAAGTTTCTAAAGGGTTGTTTGAAGTGGAAAACACTTCTTACTGGACTTTCTTAGCTTATTTGACTTGTATTGCTTGTTCTTCTTTCTGTTTTTTGTCTGAAAAGATGGTAATACCTGTTCTGTTAGGGAAAACTGGCCATAAGTCAGCATCCTCGGCAATGTAAGATGAGTTTAGTTTCGATACATTAATAACTTACATCTTTGCAATTCGGTCAATTAGGTCTTGCAACATGTTTGATCTAATTTAAATTTAAAAATAATTTAATTTCACCAAAAAGGTTATTTATTTTTAAGAGTTCTATTAAGAACTTCATAAAAGTAAAAGATTATTTCTTTAAATAAATTTAATTTACTTACTTAATATATCATTGCCTTCAAATTATAAATAACTATTTTTTTAATTTATTTAAGAAAGATCTAATTCTTAAGAGGGTTCACTCAATGAAGTTACTATGGCATCTTAAATTTTTGTTTTTTATCAAACATTTTAATGAGATAAGTTTGAATGAACTCTAATATAAGGAAAATAAAATTATTTTATCAATAAAATCTCACAACAAACAGATTAACTTCTTCAAACTTCAAAAGCTTGATGACAGAATCTGATAAATTAATTAATTGATATAACTGACCGCATGCGTTGATGAATCGCTTGATTATAATTCCTAAACCCGCTAAGTAGTTAATACGGTGATCCAACATGTAAGTTAGAATTTTCATCTAAGTGAGTCTTAATTAAAAATATGCACTTGACATGGTGTAGGACCTCTAATAATTAGGGTGCGTAATTTAGTATAATTAGACTAAACTGTATCCTTAAAATCTCTTTTATTTTAAGGTAAGGGTCAGCCAAGGAGAAAAAATTATGTAAGGAGAGATCCAGTATACATTCTTTATCTTTTAAGAATATTATAGGATAAAATAAAATTAAAAGAAAAATTATATATTAATAAAAAATTAATAAAACTTATTTTATAAAAAAAATTAAAAATATTATTTAATTTCATAAAATTTGATACTTAATTTTATTTTTTCCCTCCTAGTATAATATATTATCACGGTAATTTTATAGACTGGTGCATTTTTAATATAATATTTTCATACAAACTATAGTTGCAGGCATTACAGAATAGGAAAAAAAGAATTCACTCCTTAAAATATTATATCCTATCTACCGCTATCATAATCTATTTGTGCACGGAATAAGAGAAATAATTATCTCAAATACATTGATATAAGGGTAAAGAAAAGATTTTGAAGTGTCCAAAAACATAGGTTATTACAATTTATTTATTTTTTCTCAACTCAGAAGACGTAAAAGGAAGAGAAACAATTTCTCTTGAATTAATTAATCATGTGCTAGTTTCCTGGACTTTGGACTCTGAATTGACATGCTTCTTTTCTTTTATTGGCCACCTTAAAAAAAGTCACAATTGCTTAATTGCAGCCCAAGTATCACTTTCACAAGAATTGTTAAGGGAGCAAGGTGCTTATCAAAACGTACAATATAATATGATTAGCGTTTTAATTATTGCTTCCATTCATAATTACAGGACAAATACAGCTTAGTGTCCTTCTGGAGAAGGAATTTGAATACGTTGAATTATTGATGTGATTAGTTTTTTGTAACTTTATTTTATTTGTAGTACAAAACACTTTTCAGTTAAATTCCTTAGCTTATTTAACATTTAGAGTCTGCTGCTACTCTTCTCTTGATATCAACTGATTAAAGAAACGAAGAATTTTTTCATACGAAGAAGAGATACATGGACAATTCTATATAATAAGACTTGGAGAAGTCACAAAATAATTAAATTACTTTTCAAAAAAGTCTTTGTAAAAAATTTAGTATAAATAATAAATAAAATATATTTTATAAGTCACGTTTTAGAGAAGTTAAATGAGAGAATTTTTCAAAACTTCTCACAAAATAAAAAGTATAAATTGTTTATGAAAAAAATTATTAATTTTTATATTAATTTTTTTTATAATAACTTCTTTAAAAATTTAATTAAATAAGATTTTCATGAACTTTGGAAGTTAATTTTACAGAAGAAGAAAAAAAGGTTTGAGAAGCAAGAGAATACAAGAAAAATGTTGAACTCTTTTCTTTATTGGAATTTTTTATATTAAGGGAATAAGAATTTATTGCCTCTCTATTCTTTTTAAAATTTTCTTTCTCTAAAAATTAACATCAATATTTTTTAAAATAAAAATTTAAATTGTTTTCAACTTTCTCCTCCTATATTGCATATACATGAAACAATTATATTTTTTTAATATTTTGTCCAATTCTATTATGCATTCATTTTCAATAAATCTACGAATTATATATGAAATTTTTTACTATTTTGTATAAGTAAAATAATTATTTGTAATTAAAAAATAATTTGTAAATTATAGGTTCATATGTTCATTGTAAATAACTTATTGATAAATGCAAATTAACTTAAGACTATTGAGAAAAGTATATATAATTATTGAAAAAAGATAAAATATTATTATTAGACCAATTAAAAATAACTAAATTGGCTGCTAAAAATATATGAAATAATCAAAACATTGAGTATATGATAAGTAATAGTAATTACATAAAAATCATTCCGCCAATAACTTTTAAGACGTTTTTATTATGCATAAAGGATAATAATATTCAAATGAACTCAACTATTTTATCACAAAATGTTCAATAGTGTACAACTTTTAAATTGTTTTAACGTCAATAGATATAGTTGTGGTTAACTCACGCAGCTGAATTTTAGCCTTTATATGATGAAAATTTTTTATTCACATTTTTAAAAACATCTAAAAACATTGATGAAAAATTATTTTCTCTTTAATTTTTTTAAATTTTCTATTTTTATTTCATGTCTCTCTATTCTTTTAAATTTTCTTTCTAAAATTAACATCTTAAAAGTTATTTTTGAAAATTTTCTAAATTTTTTTTTATTAATTTTTTCTCAAAAAAGTAACATCATACTTTTTTTAGAATAAATTTTAATTTTTTTTCAACTTTTTCCTCCCTTTAAATCGATATAAATGTTTTATTTTATTCCAATATGATTAATATTGATTGTATGGAAATCGCATTCTTCAAGTTTGATGTAAGCTATGGTAAGTTGACATACTTGTCTTGCTTATATAATCTTGTTGATGAGTGACTTTTGTGATTGAATGCCTAAGTTTCAATCGTTAGTAATTATCAAATCTTTAATATTATGCATCTTCAAGACCATCAACAAGATAACCAAATTATAGTCAAACTTTAGCAAAATATTCAGAATGAACTAGCTAAACTTTGATCATGACCATGTCTTGAATAATTTTAAGTAAAGGCACCATGATGACTATGAGATACATTTAAACGTGAGTTAGTCTATATGCAAGAGTCTTATTTTCGATGTGTAACAGTATATATCAATCTTTGACATAATAAACTTATGATTCATCCTCTTGATGATCGCCGCAACGTTCTAAACTTATACTGTGCACTTTGCAAATTATTCAATAATTAAGCATGCTCAGAAAGTTTGCAATCTTTTATTATGTTGATAAATTTGTTATCATAAAAATAGATGATGTTTAACTTGCCTTAACAAGTTATATATGGTAAGGTAAAAGACTTTTTATTAAGAAACCAATTCTTTGTAACTAAATAATATAATATCCTTAAAAAATATATTTTTGTTATTATATTCTCACTAAATTAAAGAGGTTCTCTTGAAAATATGTCGTAATATTTTTTTATATAATTTTATAAATTTATCGTGTAGGGATTTACTTATTTTAGGGTTCAATTTTATAAAATTTAATCTATTTAACAACTTTTGATTGACGTTGAATTTCATCAATCTAACTATTAAATTTAAAATTTTCATTGTACTTAATAATTACATATGTTTACAACATTTATAAATTAATTAATACTTATCTACTAACTTCATTTTAATACATACTATATTTTTATATTATAAATAAATGTTAATAGTAGGATAATTGATAAAATGTCATTCTATTTATTAGAAGCGATGACAATGCAACCTAGAAAAATTAGAAGAAAAAGAGTTGCATAAAAAAGAAAAAATGAGTAAAAATAATCAGTAATAGAGTCAGACGAGCACGCCCCTATTAACATCAGCACGTCATGTGCGGACTAAACAAACCTTTTAGGCAGGACATGCTTAACAGTAACACACATTGTGTTACATTCTAAGTGAGCACATTGTGATAAGTTCAGCACACCCCATGATGAACAATAGACCCATCTATCTAAGGGGTATTCAGGGTAAGTGTTCCTGCTAAGGAAACACTAGTCTTCGGATCTCTGCTTTGAAGTGATGACGTCCTTCTGATTGTTGCTGACATGGCTGACGTGGGGAGAGTACTGTAAAAGACACTCCGATGCTGAAGTCAGGGTTTAGTTCTGAGCAATAGATGCTATTTAATATTAAAAAGTCAACCCTTTATATGTACTTCTTACCTTCCTTTTATAGGCAGTATTATGGGCTAATGGGCTTGCTGAATCAGCCTAGTTTTGGCCCTTTAATTAGAGAGGATTAATAATTTGATTGTTACCTTTAATTGGGTTAATTACCTTTAATGTTGGCTAAGAGGGTACTCGGCTTGACCTGACCGGGGGAGTATTTGGTTCCCTTTTTCTGTAGGTAAGACCGAGTACTGTCTTATCCGGTACACTAGCCCCCCAAGCCCGAAGAGAGACGATGCGAGGGCTTTAATAATATACTTACACATGGGATGTTGATAGTCATATTTTAATAAATCTTTCTTAATTCCCGCCATAAATTCTTGTTTTGACACAGTTTCTTGAAAAGACCATATCTGGAGCTACACTACTCGGAATTGGACAAAATTGGTGTCCC